AGGGTGGACGGGATGGCCGGGAGATGCAAACGAAGCCTCTGTCCTAAACTGGCTCAAGAAGATAGTTACCCAAACTGCGCAGTGGGCTCAAAATTGCCGGCAAACGCCGGCACGAGGATTATGGATAGTCAAGTAAGCCGCTCGACGGCTCAACGGCTCAGCGTAAACTGGATTTTGCCATTTTGAGCCACCCCGAGGCCAAGGCGCATTGGTCTCAGGTTCTCATCCTCGGGGAACTGAAAAGCAATTCAAAGGACGACTGCCAAACCGGCGCGTGGTTCGACATCGGGAAATACGTGAGGGAGGTATTTACCACGTAAGATACCAAACACTTTGTCTTAGCTTTTATTCTCTGTGGGTCTTTTATGTGCATGTGGGAGTTTGATTGTTTTGGTGGAATTGCCTTGATGTAGTTTGATATTAATAAAGATGGGTTACGGTTTGTGTCGATGATGTTTGGCTTTTTATGGATGGACGAGAAGGATTTGGGATTTGACCTAATTTTTATTCCGTTCAATGACGAACGGTGTATTAAGATTATCCGGAATGGAATACCGGAATGTATCGTGATTGACAAGTTTATGGGACAATTATCTTGTATCGTAGGCCGGGCTATCATATGCTGGAAGGTTTATCCAGAAGGGGACCTGTTTACGATGTTTGTAATTAAAAATTCGTGGCAATTTCCCGAACGGGAAGTGGAGGGAGAGTTGTTACGCGAGGCAACCGAAAAGGGTGTTTGTAACGTCACCTGGTATTATTACTACAAGATTATTTACGTTAATGGTAGTGTTGATGATATCTAACTTGGTATCCAAAAAGAATTGGATATTACCAAAACCTTCAACTATAAGGTGTAGAGTTTGAATATGCCTCGTATGTCTCATATTTCCCAGGGTAGCAAAAGATCATCTAGCCAAACTAACGCACCTCTGTTATCAAGTAAGCAATCCCGCTCGGAATCTCCGGTGAAAAGAGACCTTATCCACCCTAGTTTACCGCCGAATCGCATCCATCGATGTGTTATTGTTTGTGACTATGGACAAAATATTTATGAAGTTAGCTTGTATGTGGCTCTTCTTGCTGCATTTGAAAGTTGTATACAAGGATATAAGTTATTATTTGAGGCTGGTATCCTCCACAAAGATATATTAATTAATAATATTATGATTAATGAGGATGGTAGTAACCTTTCAGGATTCTTAATCGATCTCAATCTTGCCATCAAAGTATAGTGAGAGGATACTTCAGGCGCGAAGGGAAAGACCAGTACGAGGGCTTTTATGGCAATTAGGATACTTAAAGGTCGTCAGTATTCTTTCGAGCATGACCTCAAATCCTTCTTCTGGGTGTTATTTTGGATATGCATACATTATAATAGTTCGAATGAGGAAAGATCCGTTCCCGAATTTGAGAAGTGGAATGTCATCAGCATAAGCAAATTGGTAACATTGAAAAGAGGTATTGTCGCGGACGAGTAAGACTTCATCAAGATATTCATTGAAAACTTTACGCCATATTACAAGCCTTTGATACCTTGGGTTAATAGGTTGTGAAGGGTAGTGTTTGATAAGTAAGGGATAGATAAAAAGTTATATTCTCGCATGCAAGAGGTCCTTCGCGACGTTCAAAAAGATGAGAAGGTATTAACTAAGTAATGTGGCGAGCAATTAATGCTCATAGGTATAATCATTTCCTATTTATCCATCGCTCTGTAGTAACACGATGAATGCCCGTAAAAGGTGTGTCAGCCGCGAGTCCGATAGTTTTCTAACGGTCCCTAGAGGCCAGAAGTTCTAAGATCATAGGGAGCAAAAATTCTGACAATAGCCACGATATTCATCGTTGGTTGATAATTTCTACTACCCTGATCGCTTAACTAGGCTGAATCCATATTTCCAAATCCTTTTCTTGTTGCGATAAGCGGATAGGGCAGTGTTTCAAGGGGGAATAAGGGTCGGTTTATTCCATTGCCATACTGCAATAAAGCTATCCTTTAACTCCTTACGGGTACTCATCTCGGTAAAATATGCCTCATAGGAACACAGGGGCAATTGGCTCCAACGTAGGTAGCAATAAGCCGGTGAAACGGACCAGGTATAATTTTTCACAGGTACATTGCCTGCAGTATACCTAACCGGTCACGTGCCCCAGCGTTATCATGGTGTGGAAGCCAGTAATAACTAACCTCCCAAGTCAACCTTACTCCTGGCCCTATTCCTGCAGAATATGCTGTCCTCTCGCGGGACTCCCCTTTCCACCATTTTCGAGTTACTGCTGCCAGCCAACCCCCCTTTCATAGCGCCCAGATACACCTTAGTCATCCATGGTCTTAAGGGGTTGAATCGGCCCCTAGAATAGCTCCATGAACTTTAGGTGTACTTTTATTTCAGGAGAAACTCGTAGCAACGAGCCCGACTGCTACTAGGTACCCCTAGGAGCATTAAATCAGTCTAATATGTCTAAGGTATCTATAAGTAACATTACTCAAGGAGTTATATTATCATAACTACAAAAGGCTATAGTTATATAATCTTTATAGTCGATTCAGCTCCCCTATTCAGGCCAACGGGCTAG